TAGATGCTGACATCAATAGAGCGAAGTATTTCAAAAGTATGATCCAGTAGCTTAAAAACATTCATCTTTTTCCTTTAAAAACAAAAAAATAAATTTATAAATAATTTTAAAAGTTTGAACTTTATAATTTTATCACAGAATATTTGGAAGTACTTTAAAGAGCACAATTTAGTTTTTTATTTTCCCCAGGAAGAGGGAAGATAAAAAACTCAATTATCTTTTTATTTCAAGTCTTTTTATTAAAATTCTGCATACTACATTTTGTTTGATTGTGCAATAACAAAATTTTCACTACAATGAATTTATAGTTGTTGTAATTATCGTAATTTTAACTAACTTTTAGGACAAGTCTAAAAACTAATTAATAATTTAAAAGCTAGGTAAAATAATTGCGTTTTCCATGAATTTCTAGAATTAAAGAATAAATAAAATGTAGCAAAAATATTTGCTAAAAATCTTATCTTTTTGTACCAAAAAGTAGAAAATAAACTTTTTAATTTAAATTTAATCATTCCATAAACTTATGCGGTAGTGGTGTAGTGGTAGAGCGCTCGCTTCATAAACAAGTGGTTCCGAGTTCAATCCCCACCACGTCCCTGGTAGTACCGTGCTCAACTCGTTTCTTCGGGCAGCAGCCTTGTTCGTCAAGGTTCCTGTTTCGGAGTTATAGAGTTGAGAGAGGGTTATAACCACAAATAAGTAGCCTCCTCGTCTTTAGTGGTCTTCTCGGCCTTGAGGAGGTGAATTAAAAAAAAAAAACAAAAAAAAAAAAACTAAAGATTGAAAGGTCTGCGCAATGTTTATTTAGAAACATACCTGTCAATCTTTAGTTTATGGAACTATTAAGTTTAAATTAAAAAGTTTATTTTCTACTTTTTAGTTTTGGCAGAAAGTTGCAATATTTAGCGCTGCGTTTATCTAGACATGTGTAATTAAGTCGAGCTTTTTATCCTAAAGAAACGTAATATTTGCTGATAAAAGGAGCGGAATATTTTTCTTTTAAAAGATAAAATTTTTTTATATAAAAGTAAAATAACATAAAGTACAAATATTTCATTTGCATTGCAACCTGTGTCCTCCCACAGTTGTGGGATTTAAAAAGAAATAAATTTAAAAAGATTTAAAAAGAAATACAAACCCACAAGCAATCTTAGCTGATTTTAAGAATAAAAAAAACTATTTTTAAAAGAGAAAAAAATAAAATTAAAAAAATATTACAAACCCACAAGCAATATTAGCCTATTTTAAAAATGAAAAGGTTTGTTATATAATAATTAATTTTATTATAAACTACTTAATGCAACTAAGGCATAGAACAAACTCGTAAAAAAAAAGCCGATATTTTAAAACAAAGCCAATTGATTGTTAGTGGCAAACCGAAAAACTTTTTAGTTAATGGTATTTAATTTATGCAAACAAAGAAATCGAATTGAAAGTAATTTATTTATAAAGTTTGCCGCCTTTGGTTTTTGATTGTTTACGAATTTTGAATAGAATATGTTATTATTTCAAGATGGCCAAATAAGTTTCAAGTATTTCAAAAAATGATACTAAATACCAAAAACAGTTTTTTAAATGGGGCTAAAAGTTATGATTATTTATGCAAAAACAATTTTGGTAGAAAATTTAACACTACCATAGGCTACCTAATTCTAACGTGACATTATTGTTAAATATACTCATTTAGGTGTGGTATTGAAAATAGTAACTTCAATTTTCATAAAAAAAATGGTTTTTCATGGATAATTTTCCCAAATAATGTCTGATTAGAAATGTCAAGTTACATTTATTGAAAACAAACACCAATACATGCTTTTATGAAAAAATCAAATTCAAAGACTTATCTATAGCCAAGCCCCAAGGTACTTTATGTTGAAAATTACATTTTTTTAAAATAAAACTACGCTTGACGATTTTTATAGTCACATTAATTTTACCAGATTATAATAGTGGTTAAAATAATCTTTCCATACATACCAAATATGTCATACTTTTTGATAAAAAAACTTACATATATTGTAATCGAAAAAATGTGTACCAGGCCTTAGTTGCATTGAGTAACGGGTGAGCAATTTAGTAGCAAATTTCTCTATAAAAGGTTTATTTTTTAGAGCGTCATTTTCGTCTTAATTTTGTAAATAAAAGTTAAGTAAAAGAATTTTACAACTTTAAACACATGTGTAATTGTATAGACTACTGATTTACTTCCTAAAAATACAATTTTGTTTTAATACCAATATATTTTACTTCATTTTGAACGAAAATTTTTTTGTGTCGCTAACGACGTAACCACTTTATAAAAAAAACAAAATTATTCAAGTTGCAAAATCGAACACGGAGTTGCAATAGCGAACAAAAAAGTTGCAATAACAAACAAGAGATGCTTTACTGAAAAGCGTGTTGCGATACAGAACATTTTAGTTGCATTACCGCACATCCATATGATCATCATCATTATCATCATCATCATCATCATCATCATCATCATCATCATCATCAT